CCCCCCGCCCCGCGTTGTCGCCGCCGCCGCCTGCCCCTTTAAGAAACCAGCTCGCCCCGGCCGCTCGAGCCGGCCCGACCTAACCTGCTAGCAAGGAAAAAGTTCTTTAAATAATGGATACGAGGCGCGGCCAATGGGAGAGCCCAGCCCGGCTGGGCGGGGCGGAGCCCGCCCGCCGCGGCCAATAGGAGCGGCGGAGGCGGGACTCGGCGCCCAGGCTAGGTTGCTCCGGAGCGCAGCTTCAAGTGAAGTTAATCTGGGGTGAAGCAAACAGACAATTGTGCAGATTTTGTTGGTAGGAAATTTCCGGTGCTACTCGTGTCGTGCGTCTCGAGGCCGCCCTCGGAGGCCCTTGGGCTCCTGCGTGCGTGGCCGCCTTTGCGCGTCGTTTTGTTCCCCGGCGATGGCAGAGTATTAACATTTATGCAGGGAAGCAGAACAAAAGGGCTCCCTGGGCAGGAGAGAAGGTGTCGGGAGGACCGAACTTGGCCGAGTTTCCCCGGTCGTTTGTCGCCTCGCGCCGGCTCCCGTGGTCGCGAAGGGACGGGCAGTGCCACCTTATCCGGAGGTAAAGGGATAATCCTAAAATCAGGGCGATAATGCCGCGCTTGAGAGTTGCCCGGTGCTTGCAGGAGGCGAGCTCGGTTTTAACTCTAACTTCCCTGATTCTGGCGAGGTTTGAGCTAACTAATTACGACAGCTGCTGCGGGATTATTCAACGGCAGCATTTGCTCCGAGTCATGTGGTGTAAATTGTCTGCTGCTGTATCACCGAAGGCTGCTTTTCTCTGTGTTTCATCTTGATGAGATGTCTCATGAAGCTCTTTAGCATTTAGAATGAAGATGTATTTAAAAACCAAGGCACTGCAATTCTTCTCTTCCTCTTTAATCCATTTTTTTTTTCCAAGAATATCTGGGGCTGCCYGAGTTTATTGCAAACACAGGCTGGAAAATTAAGTGTTATTGCYGTGTGTTGCAGCTCTGACCCTTGCAGCCAAGGGAAGGAGGGGAGGTTTCCTTTGGAACTGCCAGAATTGCTCTTGAATCCAGTATTGCCTCATGATAGTAGGATTTGCCTTTGAGCGAGGGTTATTTTCGGTTTCTGTACCAGATTTATCCTTTGTGGCCTTCATGATGCTATTTTTAGAGCTTTTTTTTTTTTTTTTTTTTCCGCTCTCGTCTTAAAGGCCCTCAGAAATAGGAAATGCCTAGTTTGCCGTGGGTGGCATGGGACGGGGAGGGGAGCAGGAAGTGGAGGTGGAAGCTGGGGGTTGTAATGAGAATGAAGAGTTTTTAATTGTCATCTCTGGCAGGGGTGTTAAATGAGGTCACATACAGAACAGTGCTTTCCGGATAGGGAATGTATTTTCTTGCTTCCCCAAATGTTTTCTGTTTTTATAAAAGCACTTGTGCTTATACGCACCTGCTCCTGGGAATGGAAAGAAATGCACCTGGCCCTAATACTTGTTGAATCTAAGTAATCAGTTTGATAGGATTTGTATGGTTTAGTCAAGGTGATTGAAGAATGGATGTGAAAATTGAACAAGAATCTTAAAAGCGACAGTGGAAAGCACTTGCTTGAACTCGTGYTGAATGTGTTTTGAAAATGTGGCTATTACAGCATACGTCCTGCTTTCGGTTTTGCATTGAAACCATTGTGTTTGTTTCCCAAATGGAGAGTATGAACTACTTCTATAAAAGTCAAAGCATCTTGACACGCTGGCATCTTGTTGTGTTCCAGTGGTTTGTAGGTTGGCATTAATTCACTTTTGTGTTTTTTGGTTTCTTTTTAAATCTTTTTACAACACTAAATAATGTTGTGCGCTGTGTTTAAACCCTGGAAATACTGCTTAAAAATGAGCAGTAAGTATCCAAAATCTCCTATCCAGGAGGTGGGCCAGACCTCTTGCATAAGGATCCTTAAGAAAGGGATATGTTAGTGTTAAAATACCCTTTTTTTTTCATTCACTTCTTAACTGATGACTAATGCTAGGCCTAGACTGAGTGGTCAGATTTCCTGTGTCAGGTGAGGTCAAGGAAAAAAAAGTTAATGCTTTCATTTTTGTA